AGACAGCACAGAGCCGGTCGCAGCCTCTTTGAGCCCAGGTAGCTTCTACCTACAGGTCACAGCGGTCATTTGAGTGCCTGGGGGTTACTGTGTCATCCTCTTTCTGGGCAGGATGGGAAATTACAATGGTCCCATCTATAGAGCACAAGGTCAAGCCTGCATGTGGCCAGTTTGGGTCTTCCTAGACCTGACTCCTTTTCCTCGTCCAAACATACAATTTCTGGCCAGATTTCAGTATTTAGTTCATCCTTTATTCTTCCAGGCGTTACCAATAGGCAGTAAAATGGTAAAAAAAATTGACCAAAAAATAAAAAAGCCATATCAATCCTAAGCTGTACATGAAGAACAATTCATCTTTGAATAACTGACTGGGCAATGTTAAAATTTATCTTGTGTTGGACCTAAATACTGTTGAGGAAAAGGCTGTTCAACTATATCTACACTATAATTCTATGCTCAGGAAAAAAAAAAAAAAGCTGGAAGGAGGTATGTATACTGATAGGTTAAAAGCAGGTAAGTCTGGGAGACATAATTATGTGTGGTTTTTCTTATCTGCATTTTCTAATTGTTATAATCAGTATAGTGTAATAGTAATAAGACAATTCCTTAGAGTAATAAAAAGGCAGCTGTGTCCCTGCCTCCACTCCACGCAATCCAAGTATCTATGCCCCACACACCTTGTTGAGCTTGCCCAGTGAAGATATGAGATCCGCCCATTCACTCGAGGACTCAAAATTTCTTAAGGCCTTTTCGACCACTGAAGAGTAATTTCTGTATCTGTAGTCATTTAATAGTTCCTGTTCTTCTGGATCCATCTTACATTCTCGCAGCAGAGAAAGTTATCTAAAAGGGAATCAAAAATAAATAAATGAGGCAGCTACTCAAGGACACAAACCATTCCCAGCCCAGAGCTAGAGGACACGCATCCACAAACACGGCAGCGCACAAAGTCACTGGGCGATCCAATGCAAATATTTAGCGAGGCTGCTGGGCCAGGCGCCATGGCAGATTAAAGATAAACAGTTTGGCCCTCCTGGATTCTGAGCGCGACAAGTGGATGGAGCAGAAAGAAGCAAAAATGCTAGGGTTCCACTTAATTGACAAAATTAATTCTAGGAGTGAAACAAAGCAGCTATGTATTCTTGCCAATTGGTCATTCTTGAAAGCAGATGGCCCCTCCCATCATAGAGCATTTACTAAACAAAAGGAAAAGCAGGTCAATACTCTTAACTGGAACAACCTATTTAGCAAACCCATCCTCTACAACTAGACTAGGAGAGAGGATTAGAAATATTCTACAAGAAAATCTGGTGGGGAGAAAAAAAGTAAAAAAACATAGGGATGTAAGAGTGTGGTGTCTGACCGCAGTGCTGTCAGAAATCCACCAGGTTTTCAGTTCCTAAGCTCCAGTCACCCACCAGGCCCCCACCAGGTGCTGCCCTGACGGCTTATGCCTCAGAGTGGCGAGTCTGGATGTAGGGTGGGGATGCCAGGGCCCAAGCAATCATCATTTTATTCTTCTTGCCCTTGTATATTCTTTGATGGATTATTTTATTTATTCCTGTGGCTAGATGCATTCATGACATATGAGCCACTGCGTCTACTGCAAAGCCTGAGATGTAGATGGTCTAATCCCCACTCCAACAGCAACCATTTTCCTTTATTTTTATCCTCAATGTGACAAAAGGAAACAAAGAACATGGAATGCTGCGCTGATCTGACATGAAAACACACATTCATTTATGCGTTATAATGTATACAATACACATGCATGCTTATCTCAAATTTTGTCTTTCCTTCATTAAAATAAAACAAAACTGAAGGTCAACCCATCAGTCTATTCAAACAAATTACAACTTTGAAAAATACATGATATGGACATGGTAGCAGTCCCTGGCACCAAGCCTTGGGTCCTTTCTTTATCCTCGGTGATCTCCCTATTCCTATAACTGACAAATACCGTTCCATGCTAATGACCCATGGATTTATAACACCCGCCCAAACCACCCAGAGGTCCAGATTCATGCAAGTATCTACTTGACTCCTCCACCTGGAAGTGGCACAGGTGTCTCAATAAATCCAAATTCCTCCCCCACTCACTCTGTGGCCTACAAGGCTCCACCTACCTCTCTCAAGGCGCTCTATTTGTCCTAAGATTGACTCATTCTACCACAAAGTCTTTGCGCATGCTGGGCATCTCTGCAATAATATACTGTACTATGCATATGCACCCACACCATAAGACTGCCTACTCATTCTTGGGAAGGCCTGCCTCTTTTTCTGAAATAGCCTTCACACTTTTGGAAAATATTAAGGATGGTGACGAGAGGTGGTGGTTTGTTTATTTTTCCAAATAAGAAGTTAGTACATCCAAATAAGAAGTTAGTACATCCAAATAGTCCATAACTTTCTTTTTCTTCCCCAGGAAATTTGCAGGTCTGAAATACAGCATCTCTGAGCCATTAAAATGCTCCATGCATAGCCTGTTCACTGTATTAAGTGTCTAAGGACTGGGGAAAGAAACATGAAAAAGATAGAATTCCACTCTCATAGCTCATAGCCTAATGAAAGAGGAAACACCTAAATACACAATGTCAGTTTAACGCTACCCACAGTGACAGAGGGTGGACTGAAACGAAAGGGTGACACTGGCAACAGGAAAGAACAGAGGAAGTCTAACTTCTAGCAGAGGAGTCCTCAAAGTCCACAGGTGCTTTCAGCTAGTTAGCAGGAGAGCCTTGTCAGCGATACTACCTGTGTTTAGGAGGTGGGTGGCAACCAAGGCACCACTGCTCATGGCAGGGAGGGCGTTGGCCACGTAAAAGCAAAAACTGGGGCAGTTCAATGTTATGGTTGGCTATATGAAACAAGTGCTATTTGGTGTAACTAACAGCACAGGTGAGAAGTTTGGAAACACTCATCCAAGCAAGCTTCCATCTTTCAAAATATGGGGCATTTGATACTACACTACTAAGGAAGTCTTCTGGGTGGGCTTGGTAAATCCATCATTTGTGCATGCATTTATCTCATGCAACACACAAGAGTCCTGTGAGATGGGTAGCACTGGACTCCAGATGAGGACACTGGGAATCAGGCCCTCCAGAAAATTGCTGGGGTCACACAGCAAGCATCTGACAGAATTAGGATTCCAGCTCCAGGCAGCGCGACGCCAGAGCCTTCACCACAATATGCTACAGGTAAATAGTTCAGCCCTTAACTAGCTCTTCTGACAAGGATCTTGCAATCTATCCTGAATACCTTTTCTGTGAGAGACTCAATAGCTCAGTAAAACTGATAAAAGCTCTACAGCCTACTAACCAGCAGATACAGAAAGTAGTCACTTAAACAAGTGTATCTGACCAGATGTATCCACCTGAAAATCGAAAATGTCAGCAGGAACTCTCTCACCTTAACCGTTCTTAATTTCTTAGAAAAACAAGTTCAAATAAAAAAAAATCAACTGCTAGATCCGACATAAGTTAACTGTAAAATGCTTACATGAAGGAAGGTTTCTGAGTTAAATGAAAAAGAAGACAGTGAAAAATGACAGAACAGCCACCCTCCCATGAGCAAGAACATTTGTCAATAGATAATGACCCTTAGTCTACAGCACAGAAAACACTCATCTGCAGTTGGTTAATTGGTTTAGCCAACTCTAGGGCACATTATTTTGAATTTGGTCTTTCAGAGTGATAAATTGTGGGAGATTAAAAGACACGAATGGAAGCAGGCTTTGGGGGGAGGGAATGGCCTCCATCTCCTTACCAAAAAAAAAAAAAAAATCTTACAAAGGTTTTCCCAAGTGTAAGGCAGCTGTCCCAGGTTAGCGGAAACACCTGCGGGTAGTCTCCACAAGCAGGTGCGCTGTGAGCTGCTGAAGGGCCATCTACGCCAGCAGCATCCGGCGAGCCCGCAAGACGCAGAGGCCAGGCGGCAGGGCGCGCGCACTGCGGCTCGGAGCCCTCTTCCTGGGGGAATCAGGGAGACTCTGAGGTCCCTTGTCAGGAAAGCCCTCGTTTTATCAAGGTCTGGGTCTCGAGCCCTCCTCCGCGACGAGGACCGCACAAGCAAACAAAGGCACAGCTGCTCCTCCGTCAGCCAGCCGAGGGGAGGCACGGATGGGCCGTGACCCACCTGACCTCCATCTGCTGGAGCAGAGACCACCACAGGCCGGCAAAGGCGTGGCCGCCCTTCACCCCTTGCCGGGAGCCGGGGAAACTGGGAGGGGACCCTGCGCAGCCTCCCCGGTTCCCCTGGGGGGTCTCGGGCCGGAGCCCACGCCCACGCGCGGCCCCGCTGGACCAGCCCCTGCACTGCAGCAGTGCAGGCCGGGCCGCACTCGGAGGAGCCACCTACACTCCGGGACCGCCCCCACGGTGCCGCCGGAACCCTGCGCAGCCGAGGGAGGACGCCCGCGCTGCCTCGACGCTGGCGGGCCCGCGGAACACGTCCCGGCTCCTCTGGTTCCTCCGGCTCCGCCCGGCGGCCGAGGGCGCGGGCCCGACTTACCCGCGGCCTTTCTCGGGGGCGCGCCCGCGTACAGCGCCCGGGAACCCGCCGGGCTGTGGCAGGCAGAGCCGGCAGCTACTGCGACTCTGCCAGGAGCCGCGACCGCGGAAGAAACGCCCCGCCCGAGCCCTTGCCGCCACTGCTCCGGAGAGTGGGCGGGATCGGGAGGCAGGCCCTCCGCGCGCAGGGGCGTAACCAGGGCGGGTCCTCAGTGCGTGGGGCGAGGCCAAAGGCAGGCTCTCGTTGGGCGGGGCCGATAGGCGGTGCACGGGGGCGGAGACAGGGCGAGCCCTTGGTGCGTGAGGGCGGGGCAAGGGGAAGCGGTCTTCGGCAGGAGGGGCGGGGCTGGGAGGAGGGCCCTCGGTGCGCGAGGTCGGGTGCCAAGGGCGGGTCCTCGGTGCGTGGGGCGGGACCAATGGTTTATGCTCGACGCTTAGGGCGGGGCCGGGAGGCGGGCCCTTGACCTGGGGGCGGGTCAGGAGGCGGAACCTCGGCGTGTGCAAGGGGCTGGGAGGCGGGTCGTCAGCGTGAGGGCGCGGTTCCTGTGCGCAGACTGCGAAATTCAGGGCTCCCTCACCATGTCTTGCACAGCTTTCCCTCTCTTCGGTGGAGGTCGCTGTCAGCCTCAAAAACTACCTCCTGCCCTCGCCGCGGGACTGCTCCCCGAAGGCCTCGAAGGCGTCGCACAGGTGGGCAGGATGGCTCCGTCCCTCACCTGGAAGTCCCCGACACACCCAAAGAAAGAGGACGTCTGTCAGTGAATCAGCTCACCCGAGGAGGGTCTTTAGAGTTACAAACAATAGAACGTGGGGCTCAAGAAAGTACCGTGGGGCTCATGGCACCTGGCTCACCCCATCCTTTCCACCGGGACCACATCCAAACCCTCGGGGAGGAGGCGAGTCTGGTTAAGGTACCTTGTCCTACAGCCCACACCTTTTCGGCCCTCGGCATCGGAGGAGGTGAGGGAATTAATGCCTGAAATGCACTTCGTTAAGTACACTCTGGCTCAGAAAGGAGACCTCACGCCAATTCTAAAGACCATTAACATTTACAGATAACTCTAACCCCTTCCTGTCATTCTCAGGAGGCTTCGGACCTGGACAGTTCAGACCCACCCAACCTGACCTGACAGCTGCAGGGCGAGAGGCACCTTGAATGATAGGGGTGAGGCGGAATTCACCTGAGCATCCTGACTGCACCAGCTGGGACTCCCAGCCAGCCAAAGCAGTGCCACCTGTTGAGTGAGGTGATCATTTCTGGAGAGGCCACTACCCGTTTAACCCCTGAAGGCCCCTTAGGAATTTTCAGGTCTAGTCTGAGGTTTCCCAAGGCAAGGCAGCCATGAAAGAGTTTGGGGGATGGGGTGGGAGTGGGAGTACACGAACACTTTAAAACTGTACAGAACATCTTGTGTATAATGTATGTTTCTGGAGAAAGGGTATATGCTTTGTGTCAGATTTCCAAGGGAATCTATCACCTCCCTTGAATCACCAAGAATATTTTAATAGTTTGATTTGCTGGATCTCTGGCCTAGCCACCCCCATCTCCATTTGGCATGTACCAAGTGCCTCAGATGTTAATCCTCTAATGGTCAGTTTTGGGAATTGTCTTAAAGTAGAAGCAGAGGAAAACTAAAGGATTGAGCATTTAGTAAGGAAAAGGATTAATTTCATGAAAATTGATTTTCTAATGAAGATATGGTAAACTCCATTTTTACAAAAACAGTTGACAGTGAGTTGTGGTTTTTTTTTAGGTTCCTCAGATCCTAGCCACACTTCACACTGTATTGAACTAATAAAAGATGAAAGAGTTGCTTATACTCGCCATTGAAAAAGAGAACCAGTCTATTTGTGTCAAAACCACCAGTTACAACTTTGTCCTAATACATTTATATAAAATAATATAATTGCCTTGTATTTATGTCAACTAGCTCTAAAGAACTCCAGGTGTGTGGGAGGGTAATTAAAATTAACTTTGACAAATTCCAGTAGTAGTTATACTTGGATTTTCAACTATGTGGGAGGTAGGCGGACCAACTGGAGTATTGTTCAAAGGTCAACTATATTGTGAACTCTTAAAAGAACAACCCCATTTATAATCAGGATTGACAGTAAATGTACAGCATTAATATTTGAAAGTTTATTCCTACAAGAAACCTGTCTTGGGTCATGTTGTCTTGTCACATTTAAAAGTCTATTTAACTATGTTCATCTGTTTAAGACTTGTAGCTAAGAATGGATTCCTTACATAATAGTACTCAAACTAATCAGGACATTTCAAATTTAATTGAACTTTAATTCTTACCTCTCCTGATCATAATGAAGAAGGCATTATAAATCAGAGGTGACTATATTGTCTGGCTCAAGCTAGCTCACCTATTAGAGAGACTGGCCAGGTAAACACATCCTGAGTTTCTGTATGCAGATATTGGTGACCTTCTAAGCCTGTCTCTTCTATTGAGTTGTCGGAAAAGTCATGACGTATTTTTTCTATGTTTTTCGTTGCAAAAATGCGTCATGACTTTTCCGACAACCCAATATAAACCCGACTGTACTCCACCCATTAGACAGAGGTCCTGCGTAGTTCTGTATTTGATGCTGTCCCCACAGGTGGTTGACTTGCAGTAACAAGTAAACCTCTGTCAGGACCGTCATCACCTGTTTCACCTCCACACTACATCATTCTTCATCTTCTTGGTCTGTCACAATCCTTGTTGCAGTTCAGTAGGTGAGGGAGAAGTCCAAGGCCAGGTCAAAAGCTGATACTGTCTATCGGTTTACCTGCACATGCATCAATGTAGAAAAGTGTATCCAAAAAGCTGATATGGACGGGGCCACTGGCTCCACCTGGTGTCTAAAAAGCACATCGCATGGGGTAATCCACTTCTTTTTTTTATTAAATTATTTTTTATTATGAAATACACATTTTTTAGAATTAGTTTCAGCTGTACAACACAGTGCAATAGATATACTCTTTACCCCTCAAAGTGACAACCCCCCTCCCCCAATCCGCCACCCCATTTCCCCCCAATATCATACATATCTATTACAAATCCCTTGACTCCACTCCCACACTATACTCACTTTTAAACCACGTTTCATTGCTCTACTTGATGGAAAAGTTCACCCAAGCTAATATGGGGATCTAATAGCCACATGGCTTACAAATCACCGGATTCAATGTATCATCTCCCTTAATGTTTATACCAAGGTAGCTTCCCATGGTCTCTAGATTCATAATAATGATGCTGGATGTGACAAGCACTCAGTGCCAAGAAAAGCCAAGGAACCCTGCAAACAGTCCTGGATATGAACCAGGCCCATGGGTCTTAGCTGTGTGATCTTGGGCAAGTTAATCAACCTCTCTAAGCCCTTATGTCCTCATTTGAAAAATGACATCAATACCTACTTCAAAGAACTGTTCTGAGAATCATGCAAAACAATGTCAGGAAAAGTATTGTGACAAATGTCCTAGTATGCCATGGGTTCTCAATTCATGATATATATATATATATATATACATATATACATATATATATATATATATATACATACATATTTCTTTTTTCCTTCTGATTCCAAGCCTAATTTTTTTCACTACTGCATACCATGAAACATTTTAATGCACTTTTATTAGACTCCTTTTGGTTGCAAGAAACAACAACTCTGCTCAATTAGCTTAAGAAAAAATTTCTCTTAAGGCTAGAGAGATATCTTGGAGCATCTCTTAGAACCAGGGATCTCAGGAATGGTGTAAGGCCATGGAAGGAATGCCACCATGGGGAGGGGGCTGTCTCTCTTTGGGCCACTCTAATGGCTTCTTTTTTTTAAAGTTTTTTAAAAAAATTTTATTGGGGAATTGGGGGAGGGGAACAGACGAGGAACAGACAAGTTGCTGTCCTTTTTTGTTCTTCCGTCTAGTTCAGGAGGACCTTGTTTCACTGGCCCATGTTGGTATTATCATTGTGCTATTCCTGAGTGAGGCAGTCACTCACTGGCCTTTGGACGGCTGCTCACGGAAGCTCACAGCAGCTCACGAAAGCGTATGCCAGCTGCCTGCCAGCCCCACGGCAGCCCAGCTCCAGGTCGAGCTGCTGTTCACCATCTTAGCTGTAGAGGGTGCAGCATCACTGGCCCTCATGTGGGATCCGAACCGGGGCCCTGCTGCTCAGAGCTGGTGTCCCAAGCCAACTCAACCAACACACCACTCGGCCAGCCCTGTAACAGCTTCTTTTGAGAGTTCTTTGCCTCCTCTGGCGATGCTGGTTCCCTCTGCTCCTTGGACCACACAGGATGGTGCGGGGCTGCTCACAGTAACAGCTCTGAGCTTTTCCTGCTTTAATTTAGCTGGCCCTGCTCATTAGGGGAAGGGCCTAGAGCAGGAGCAGTCAACTGAGGCTGCAAACATGGGGAAGAAACAGGGAGAAGGGGGCCAGGAGGTAATTCTTGAGAAGAGGCTGCTGGGCAGACCATCCAATAAGGGCCCCCTAGGACCTAAAAATGAGAAATGCTGTTCAGATCAGCAGTTTGCAATTAAGGGTCTTCTAAGTGGGCTACATGCTGATCCAAAAATGTCAAGGTGGGATTTGGCTAGAGACAAAAAAGGACCTGTTTCCTTGCGCATTTCCTGCCTGTGATTCCATCAGGCAGAGGCTGAAAGTGCCCCACGGTCCCTTCCCTACCACCCATCATTGGCAGGACTCTGGAGGCTGGCTGCAGAAAGAGACCAGAATACGAAAGGGATTCGGGAAGTTTATCGAAAGCCATTAAAATGGTTTTAGAGCCAGACAAGACGTCATTAAAATGTCTTAGGAGCTATGGTCTGAGATGAATATAAGAGCATGATGAATTTCATCAGGCAATACAGAGATGGCTGAAGGAAATGAAATGCTAGCTGGGTGGAATTCAAACTTCCCTGTACCCAAAGTGGATGAAAAGTGAGGTGGGGGTTGAGAGAGCTAAACTGGCATTTTGCCATGCTGCCACTGTAAGTTGGAGAGTCAAGAAAAATAAATACCTTGCACCCTGTGATAGACCAGAAATAAGTCACCAGTATAGTCCTGGTTCCCCAAATAAATGAAACCTTGAGCATTTCTATATTTCACTGATTCCCAAATGGAAAGCAGCATTACCTCTCATTTCAGCAATGCTGGAGATGTGACCTTTGTGCTCATAATCAAGTGACAGTGTTGCCGTTTCCCCACTGTGAACAGCCCATCACAAACTAGGTAAATGTGTGGCTTCTTTGGATTTTGTCCACTGTGCACCTGTTGTATTTTTGTTGTTGTTTGGCTAGCCATTCTAGCAGAGATCTTGACTCCATTGCAAACTTTCTTCGAAAACATATTTCTTCTCTTTCGCAAGATCCTTTGGTCTCCAAGTCTCTTTGTCTGCAGGGTATAACCAGAACCTAGGAGGCTGTTTGGAAAACCAACCCCATTTGAAAGCCGTGATTGTGGAATTGCCTGTTGCCGGAGAGACGATAAAAGGGGCTGGGGAGGCACCTGAAGAAACACTCTGGGCTGCAGCTCAGAGGGGAGCGGGAACAGGCTAAGGATAAGACATCTGCATATGTCGGAGCAAAGAGATGGTGGTCTAGACAGAGTTGCCCAGGCATGAACGCAATGGAAGAAGTGCAGACAATCTGGGGAGAACACAGAATGCAACACTTAAAAGAAAAATGCATTGTGGGGCCGGCCGAGTGGCGCGATGGTTAAGAACTCGCTTGGGACACCAGAGGGCCCCGGTTCGGATCCCACATATGAGGGCCAGTGACACTACAGCTAAGATGCTGAACAACAGCTCAACCTGGAGCTGGGCTGCCATGAGTCACCGACGACGGCGTAGGCGCAGCCCCTGTGGCAGTGGGTTGCCACAGGCTACTGTATGTAGCCAGCAGCCAGCGTGAGCGGCCAGCAG